CCCCAAAACCCCAAAACCCCATTATCTATGAATTTGCTCAAAAATACGAACTAAATTCATATTTTTAATATATTAAATATTGATTGGACTACTAAATGGAAAATTTTGATAAAGGAGATTCTATATAAGCACTTGTAGCAAAGCACAAAGCTAAGGCTTAGCTTAAGGATTTAACGTAAAAGAGAAAAATTTCAATAGACAGTAAGAAAGCGGAAGAGAATAAAGAAGATAGTATATTAGAAGTAGTAGAAGAGACAACTATAATGAGTAATACTTCATTTGAAGAATTAGGAGTTTGCTCAGAATTATGTGATGCTCTGAAAGCAATGGGTTATAAAACTCCAACGAAGATCTAAGCAGAGTCATTACCTTACACTTTAAAAGCAAGAGATATGATTGGGTTAGCAGAAACTGGATCTGGAAAGACAGCAGCATTCGCTATACCAGTTATCTAATAGCTACTTGATAGTCCTCAGCCATTTTTTGCTTGTGTGATGTCTCCAACTAGGGAACTCTGTGTTTAAATAGCTGAGCAATTTGAGGCTATCGGATCAACTATAGGATTAAGAACTGCAGTATTGGTTGGTGGGCTAGATATGGTATCATAGGCAATAGCTTTAAGTAAAAACCCTCATGTTGTGATAGGCACTCCAGGGAGAATGGCTGATCATTTAGCCAACACCAAGGGATTTCACTTAAAGAAACTTAGATTTTTAGTATTTGATGAGGCTGATAGATTACTGAGTATGGATTTTGAGAAGTAGATAAACCTTATATTGACATAAATTCCTAAGAATAGAAATACCTACTTGTTTTCTGCAACAATGACATCGAAAGTATAGAAATTATAGAGAGCATCTTTAAATGATCCTGTGAAAATTGAAGTTAGTGGTAAATACAAGACTGTAGATACCCTCGTGTAAAACTACATTTTTGTCCCAGAAAAGCATAAGGAAACCTATCTTGTATATCTACTGACCTAATCAACAGGCTAGAAAATAATAATTTTTACCACAACTTGTAATTAGTCAATGAAGCTTGCTCTTATACTAAGAAACTTGAATTTCAAGGCTGTAAATATTAATGGATAGCTGACTTAAACACAAAGACTTAGCGCACTCAATAAATTCAAAGCAAATGAAAGGAATATTCTGATTGCAACTGATGTAGCCAGCAGAGGTTTAGATATCCCAGAGGTAGATATTGTTATAAATTTTGACATTCCTCAACATTCAAAGGATTATGTTCATAGAGTGGGAAGAACTGCCAGAGCTGGAAAAACAGGTCGTGCCATTACTATTGTTACTTAATATGATGTTGAGACATTTTAAAAGATAGAATAGCTAATAGATAAGAAATTAGATGAATATCCAGGTTTGGACTAGAAAGCAGCTCTGATTTTGACTGACTCAGTTGTTGAAGCCACCAGACTTGCTGCCATGGAAATGAAAAATAGAGAGGGTAAAAAGGGATCTTAAGTTGATGGACCAGAGGATGATGATGAAGATAACCAAGAGGGTAATAAAGATATGAAGTTATTTGGAAAGAAGAGATAAAATAATTTTGCTCATAAAAAAGGATTTAATGGAAAATAAAGCTTTGCCAGAAAAAGACCCAGAAAGAACTGACCTATTTTGCTAAGGAATAAGAAAATTAAGACTTCTATTTCTCTTTAATTAACCTATTTATTGATTTTATTATAAGTAAAATGCTAGTTGTTTATTTTATTCTTTTCATACAATCTGATGGGGTTTTGGGGTTTTGGGG